AAAAAAAAAAAAAAAAAAAAAAAAGAAAGAAATGTTACAATTTCAAAACAACAGTGTGTAGTATAGTCTTTGGATTTCAGAAAGATTTACATTGGCCTTATATATGGCAGAGAAAAACAGATAGGTACTGCTGATGTCAACATTGCACCATGGTGAAAATATTGATAGGGAAAACTCAACAAAATGGAAGCCTGAAGCCAGGCATGGTGGCACACACCTGTAATCCCAGCACTCAGGAGGCAGAGGCAGGAGGATCTTTGTGAGTTCAAGACCAACCTAGTCTACAAAGTGAGCTCAAGGCCATCCTGAACTGCATGGTGAGACCCTGTCTCAAAAAGACAAGAAAAAAAAGGAAGCCTGAGATGAAAACTTTCTACAGCAAAACCAAATGCAGAGTAGATGTTGATGAGTTATGCAGCAACTATGATGTCACTCAAAACACAAAGCATTGGCCAGTAGTTGTGTTTTACTTGATCCTAAATATGTGTGCCCTAAATAGTTTGATAGTTTACAAAGAAAATAATAAGTGCAAAATGCCATGGAGAAATTTTCTTAGGGGGTTGGGATGAGAACTCATAAGAGATCATTTATAGCAGAGGAAAAACAAAATGTTTCTGCCCAGGGAACTACACGAAAAAATTATGGAGCACACTGGTGAGCTAACAGGCAAACAGGCAGACATAGCATTCCAAAGACCTACTACAACAACAGGAAAACCAAAAAAGATGTCAACTGTGCCCTACAAGAAAGGACAGGAAAACAAAACATACATGTTATCAATGTAAGCAACACTCATATATGGAACATGTAATTTTCATGTGTGAAGATTGCCCTGGGTGTGAGCAAGACTCTATTTTTATTGTAGCGTTCTATTGTTATTTTCATTGTTGTTCACATAGGTTTTTATTTCTGATGTTATCTCTTAGGTTTTGTAAGCAAGTGCATAGCTGATGTGAAAATGTTGATGTGTATTCTAAGCACACATTACACATTTGGTATTTTATTTTATTGATATCTTATTTTCTTATTCAGAGGTATGATAATTGAAGTAAAGATTATTTTTTATAGAGTGCTATTGGTATTTTCATTGTAGTTCATATAGAATTTATTTCTGATGTTATCTTTTAGGTTTTGTAAGCAAGTACGCATCTGATGTGAAAATATTGATGTTTATTCTAAATGTGCAATACATAGTAATAATTTAATACTTTATGTTCCTACTAACTACACATTGCATAATATAATAAGAACCTCCTGACAAAATGGCAAGATCAGCGAGATGTGAAGTATGACTTGAAAAAAGGCCAGGAGAGCAAAACACATGTGCTGTCAGTGTAAGCAATACATGTGCATGGAACATGCTGTTGTCTTGTGTGCAGACTGCCTTAGGTGTGATAACTGAAGTTTTTTTTTGTAGAGTGCTATTGGTATTTTCATGGTAGTTCATATAAGAATTTATTTCTGTTGTTGTATTTTAGACTGTACACCAGAAAACAGTCAATGTTGAAATTTTTGATGCTTTTTTATAAACAATAAATAGTAAAAGTGCAGTACTTTGTTGTGATTTGTTTCCTGTTAAGCACTCATTGTTTAATACAGTAAAACTCATGAAATTAAAATTAATAATTCATCAATAAAAATATTTTAAAGAATAAGCCAGGGTTTGAAACACCCATGGTTATTGACCTTTATGACAAAATTGTGTTATGCTCTGTTGGTTATATCCTGTCAAGAAGGATAAACTTAAGTCATTTGTAGGAAAATGGGTACACCTTCAGGCCATAATGTTAAGTGAAGTAAGTGACACAGAAGCTTAAATGTCTCATAATTTCTCTTTTATGAAAAACCCAAAATAGGGGCTGGGGATTTAGCTCAGCAGCAAAGCGCCTGCCTGGCAAGCGCAAGGTCGTGAGTTTGGTTCCCGGTACCGGAAAAAAAACCAAAAACAAACACCCTCAAAATACTCTGCCTCACTTCGAACACATTTAGCCCATGTTCTAAAAACAAAAAAAAAAAAAAAAAAAAAAAAAAAAAAAAAAAAGAAAGAAAGAAAAACCCCAAATATAAAAAAGTACAAAATAAAAGTCACGCCAGGTGTGGTGGCACATCCCTGTAGTCCCAGCACTCGGGAGGCTGAGGCAGGAGGATTGTTGTGAGTTCGAGACCAGCCTGAACTACAAAGTGAGCTCAAGGGCAGCCTGAACTGCATATTGAAACCTTGTCTCAAAAAGACAAAAAATAAAATAAAATAAATAAATAAATAAAAGTCAGACAATAGGAAAAAAGAGAAAGAAAAAGTTACTATAATCCAGCATGGTAAACATATCTTTTTTTTATTGTTCATATTTTTTAAAATCAAATTTTATTGGTACATTTTAGGTATATATAATGATCATATTCACCATAGAGAATTTATACCCATACATGATGTGGCCAATACATTTTAAAGTGTACCTTGATTTAGTAACAGGTGTCTTACGTGTTTTTTGCCTGTTTGGCTGTGAGTCTGTGTTTATAATAATTGGATAAACATAATATAAATAAATGAATCTGACGTTTCCCCCCCAAAGTTTTTTTAAAGTGTGGGTGGAGAAAAAAGGAATAAATAAGGGTTGAGATGTGTTATGTACATGTACCAGCTCCCCACACTGAATGTAATTATTATGTACTGCAAATACGTACTAATAAAAAATTTTTTTAAAATAAAATAAGGGCTGTGATGTAGCTCAGTGTGAAGGTCCTGGATTCAAGTATTGCCCCTTGATTTTTTTCTATATTTTTTCATATTTAATAAAATATTGTAAAGATATATTTTCCTCTGTCCTTCCCATGAGGCTAATATTGTTATGAATTTAGTATGTCTTCGTAAGCTATGTTTTATACAACTTTTATAGTCTTATATATCTGTAAGTAATATGTAATATTTGATACAACCTCACAGTATTACATAACTATTTTCATTTTATGCAGATTGTTTTGTGGCTTTCTTTTATGACTACCACAGTTTTTAGATCTAGCTATGTTTGGCATATATCAATGTAGCTTATTCATTTAATCTGCTAAATAGTGTACCTTATGCCACTCTACCACAGCTTATTTACTCATTCCTCTATTGAAGGCTCCACAGTGCAGGGAATCATCCTTTCATTTGTATCTTGTCCCCAGGGCATACACCCTAGGAACATGGTATTCCTAAGTCTCAGGTCAGAGTTTGTGCACTTAACACTTTTTTAGGTGCTTACTATATCTTTCTCATTTAATTAAAGATGCAGTGAAATTGTAAACCTGTGTATCATGGCATGGTCTTGCAAGAGGGATCTTTAGTTTTAAGCTGATAGGTGCTGTCTGTCCTTGGCATTCCTAAATGTCTCATTCTGCTCTCTCTCCCAGCGACAGTACATACCCGTGAAAATGAAGAGCAGAGCCTTCTGGATCTTCTCTTGGGAATATGCCATGATGTATATGGGGAGCCTCGTGGTAATTGTTTGCCTCTCCTTCTTCCTTCTCAGCTCCTGGGATTTCATCCCTGCAGTCTATGGCTTCATGTAAGTAAAGACCTCATTAGAAAAACTCAAGCTAATCTGGTTTTCATAGCTCCTGCTGGAATCAGAGGGAGAGCACCAGAGGCAGCATCTACAGCAGGGCTCCTCCAACTTTTAAGGTGCTTCAGAGCCCCTTCAGGGTTTGTTAAACCCAGATTTCTGGCCCAGGCTTAGAGGTTCTACTTAAGTAGGCCCAGGGTAGAAGCCAATAATTTGTATTTCTCAAGTTTTCTAATGCTGCTGCTGCGGGTGGTGGTCTAGCCAACACTGTTTGAGAACCAGGGCTCTAGAGGACACCTTTGATCTATTTGGGATAAGAGAGCACCCCCTAGCACCCAAAACAGCCACCACCCTCCAACTAGGAAGTGAGGTTCAATTCGAAAGAAAAATGGATATATGCCTTTTTTGCAAGGGGGTTGGGGGGCCCTGATAGTTTAAATATAAAGGCACCTGGTGTATCTCAGACCTTTAGAGAAAACGTAGGTGGGTTTGCAGTAGTGCAGTCTTGCCCAGGTGACTGTGTGAATTCAGTAGTCATTTCTGAATACTCTCCATGTGCCTCACTCTGGGCTGCTGAGGATTGTTGGCCTGGTAGGTGACGGACACTTCCCCCTGTCAGGGTGGAGAAAGTATCTAGAATAGCAGAATTCCTTGAGGCTGCTTCCTTGAGTTAAATCCATCCCATGCATGCTAACAGCTTAGTTATTTTAGCTCATCTGATTTGAATGGGAGTGTACGATGCCTGGTGAAGAACTCTGTATCTTTTCAAAATCAAACTACAATACTGGACTGGGGGTATAGGTCAGGGCTAGAGCATTTGCCTCGTATACTTGTGACCCTAGGTTCAATTCCTAGCACCAAAAACATTTTAAAATGTTTTTTAAAAAATAAAAGTAGGTCCAGGGATGTAGCTCAGTGGCACAAGTGCCCGTCTGGCAAGTGCAAGGTCCTACAAGTTCGATTCCCAGTACCAAAAAAATAAAAAAATAAAAGTAATACACACATAGCCGGGCATGGTGGTACACACCTCAAATCCCAGCACTTGGAAGGCTGAGGCAGGAGGATTGCCAAGAGTTTGAGGCCAGCCTAGGCTGCATAGTGAGTTCAACCTGTACTGTATAGCAATACTCTCTCTCAAAAACAAAAATAATAATAATAATAATAATAATATACACATTATATATACTTTTAGAGGAGCCAGAATTGCAGCCAATTTTTGTATGATATAACAGACAAAAAGTTTTCCAGTTAAACCCTAAATGTCAGTGCACTCTGGGGCCCTAAGGATCCTAGAAGAACCTCCTGGTGGATCCTGAAGCCCCTTGAAGAGTCACTGCAGGCTCAGGGGCCCAGGCTTTGCGCTCCTGCTGTGGGGTGTGGAGCAGCAGTGTGGGAGGAGGGTCTCTGAGCTGGCTCCTCTGGGCTGGTCTTTGGAAACCAAAAATAGATTTGTTTGTATCCTTTCCTGCTTTGTCACAGTGCTCAGCAGCTCCTGATTGTAAACGGTCCTGGACCTTAAAAGACAGGCCAATCTCTTGATTTTTTCAAGATGAATCCCTCCCTCATTTCATATTTTTTTTACTTCATCTATATTTGTTATAGCTTAGCATTCTCTGTTGTTGTTTTGTCTTCATTTTGCTACTCACCTATGTCCAGGGTACCTGGATAGCCCTTCTCATCCTGGTCTCTGTAGTGAAGAAGTCATCCTCGGCTGCCCAGCAATGACCCCAAGTCTTGAATAGAAAATAAAAACAAAGCATACCATCTGTAACTCAACTTGCTCTCTCCTTGTGTTTTCTTAATTCCAGACTTTCTGTTCCAGATCTCACTCCAAACATTGGTCTTTTCTGGTACTTCTTTGCAGAGATGTTTGAGCACTTCAGCCTCTTCTTTGTCTGCGTGTTTCAGATCAACGTCTTCTTCTACACCATCCCCTTAGCCATCAAGCTAAAGTAAGTTGCTTTGTCCCTTGGTCCCTGTGTCCTTAAGTGCACTTTTAATGGCCACAGTTGCCATCAGGTTTATGACATTTGGCCGAGGAACCCTGTCCTTGGCTGCCTCAGGTGCCAGTGGCCAGAACTAGCAGCTAAGAGGCACACACCAGCATTGGAGCCCGGATTTCTCCTGGCCTTACCGTGATATGCCTGGGCACGGATTGCTGCCAAGCCCATTCATGATTTGTTTTTGATACCAGGAATCGAACTCAAGACCTGGTGCTTGCCAGGCAGGCGCCGTGCCACTGAGCTAGATCCCTGGTCCCTCACTATGATTTTGGCAAGAGCAGGAATTGTATGGAGGATGTCTCCAGAGCAAGTGGATCTGATTGAATGTCCTCCATCAGCAGCCCAGTGATTGTCTGAGGGGACTCAAGATGGATTAGTGGGGAGGGTGGCCGCCTGCAGCTCTACCTAATAATATTCGATCAATTTCTCTCAAAAGGGGTTATCTGTTCTCTTCTGCAGTGGGAAAGGGCTAAAATGTGTTGAGCCTTCTCCATCCTAGGCACCTTTTAGGCTGTCTGAAACATAATCATACCAGCAGCTTGTGGAGACTGGCATAATTTTTATTTTCACCACTCCCATTTTATAGTTGAGTGAATTGATGCTCAGAGAGGTAAAACAATTCTTCCAGAGTCATGCAGCTTGTAAGCCCCAGAACTGCAATTCAGGCATGGGTTTTTCTGGCTCCAGAATCTCTGCTGGATCATCCCCTCATGCTAGGCCAAGCTCCTGAGGGAGAGAACTTACAGTAGCCCTGGCTGTGACTCATTACCCTGGCTTCAGAGAAGCTAGACCTCTGAAGCAGATCTTCCTGATCAAGCCCCCAGGGTCTGTGAAGATACAGGTCCCGTGCATGTGTGTAGTGTCACTAGAAAGGCCATAGATCTGGCCTCTTCCTCCTCACTTTCCTTTCACACTCAGTCCACGCTTGGAGCAGCACTGAAGGCTGAGCTTTACCCCCTACGATCCCTCGACCAAGGCTGTGAGGCAAAGGCGGGGCTCACAAGAGCAGCACGGTGGTGTTTAGGGAGACGGGAGCTGGTGACTCCGTAGCTTACAGCCTTAACCCACTTTGCTGCTCTCATATCTTTCTCACGTATCTGTGAAGGGTGGAGGACAGAATTGCCGGCCTTGAGAGGTAGTTGAGATCACTTGAGATGATGCAGCAGAGGTTTTGCCCCGAATTTAAGACAGAGAGTACAGGAGGTGGTTGCTATTACCATCATTTATTATTACTTTATTCCTTTTTTTTTTGTACTGGGAATCAAACTCAGGACCTTGCACTTGCCGCAGGCACTGTGCTACTAAGCTATATCCCTGGCTAATATTAGTTTAGAATCATAATTTAAACTCTTATTAGTTAGTGTAAGAAGAATTCCAGCCCTTGCAAGCTGGAGTAACGGCCTGTAACTCAGTTTTCTTTCTGGCCATTAAGGGCCCGCAGACTTCACTACCATATTGTCAGTAAGCAAAGCACCAGCCAGGAGGCACTTCCAGGCCTGGGCCTGTTGTCATAGGTCCTCTGACACTGCGGCTGCCTGATAGCTCTGGGAAGCAGTTACTTAAGCCTGGTAATAACGAGCTGACTTCATTTGTTTTCTTCTTCCATGGCCCCTGGGGGAAAGGTATGGAGCTGTTAGAGGCAGGAAGTGGCTGGTAATGGGAAATGTCTCTCCTTGGTTCTCTAGAGTTTGCCAGGCCCTCCTCGCCTCTTCTGGGCATCTCTGGGTCCCTGCAGTTTTCTGCTCTGCCTCTGAGACCCAGCTAGTCCCTGTCTTCTGGGTAGCAAGCCACCCCTTGCCTGAAGTGCCCTGAGGAGTAATTTTTGGTTTGAGGGGTGGGGTCAGGAGTCTCTGGATGGGCCTGGTTCCTGACCGATCTTTCTCTGTCTCCCCTGCCTTGCCCTAGGGAGCACCCTATGTTCTTCATGTTCATCCAAATTGCCATCATCTCCATCTTCAAATCCTATCCGACAGTGGGGGACGTGGCCCTTTACATGGCCTTCTTCCCTGTGTGGAATCATCTCTACAGATGTGAGTATCCCGGCTGTCCCCGTGGGTGGCAGCTTTGTGTCAGCCTGGCCCTCGATGAAACAGCCAGGGAGAAAAGAATTCATAGGCATTTACTGGACGTCTGCTGTACAGGCAGCACTAGGAGAGAGGTGCAATATCTACTCCCTGGTGCTATAACTAGTGCTGATAATAAACATGATTACCATTTATTGAGCACTTGCTATATTCTAGACCTCTAAGGCTGTTACATCCATTAACTCATTTTATCTTCACACCAACCTTTGAGGTAAGTATCCCCTTGTGCAGAAGAGAAAACTGAGGTACAGAAAGGTAGAGCCTCTTAACTCAGATAATGGGACTGGGCAGGATTACATACCTGTAATCCCAGCACGTGGGAGGCTGAGGCAGGAGGATCACAAGGAGTTTGAGGCCAGCCTGGACTGCACAGTGAATTCAAGGCCATCCTTAGCTACATAGTGAGACCCTGTCTCAAAAAAATAAAAAATAAAATAAAAATCAGTGACTGCTAAGGAGAATGGCTAGTTTTAGAAACCAGATCTCTGAGCCTCTCCCAAGCTCTGTCCAACAGGGCTTTCTGTGACACTGACAATGTCCAATATCTGCATAGTCCAACAGAGCAGTCACTAATGCGACCAAGGAACTGAATTTTTAGTTTAAAATTGAAATTTAAGAAGCCCCATGTGGCAAGGCTACCTCATTGGCCAGGGCTAGTCCAGCCTCGGGCTCAGAACCATCCCCTAGTGTTACCCCCAGAGTTCCTAGAGACCAGTGAGGGACCCCAGACTGCCTGCCTCCAGGAAGACCCCTCCGTTCCACCCACCCTCTCTTCAGAGGGTGGTGCAGTAGTAGCCCTTAGGCCCCAGTGCTTCTCGCAGTTGCTCTCTCGGCCCTCTCCGGTTGTTTTTTCAGTGTCTGGAGTTCCTGTGGGGCAGACATCATGACCCCTTTGCTTCTTTGTCACCGTCACCCGGCATAGAACCTAACACTCAAAAGTAGTATTGGCAAATGTCTGCAGCAGGGGCTTTTTAAACCTCGCTAAGGAGACAGTGTCAGTGACCCAGCTGATTCTCTTCTGCTGTGGCTCTCAGCCAAGTGTCAGGAGTGAACTGGGGGAGTGCAGGCTCCAGAAGAAGTGAGTCTTTATTGTCTGGGGGGTTGTCTGGGTGTCAACCAGGAACTGAAACCAACCAGTGCCAGTAGGAAACCTACCTGTTATGTAGGTGCCAGCGAAGGTAAACAGCCAGGTGGGTGGGCCAGCTAGAGGCTGCTCCCGCAGGTGAGGCCTGGTGAAGCGCTGAGCAGTCTGGGCTCACTGGGAGGAGGAAGCAGCGTCTTTTGCCTGTGACATCCTCATGGCACAGACAAGAACCACCCAGTCCAGTGGGCTGAGTCAGCGTGGGGCCCCTCAGCAGGCTGGCTACTGACAAATTGTGAGGTCACTAAGATACACCAGCGTGCCCCAGTCTGTGACAGGTGGGTCTTTGGGACACCACTCTTCTTTCCATAAAAGTGGGTTGTTTTTCCTTAGCTGTCTTCCCTACAGGGCAGTTGCTTTCTCAGTATCTTTGATTCTACATTGCTGAACTCAGTCTGCAGACAAACTGACTTGAGCCTGCATCCTGGCTTTCCCATCACCAGCTGTGTGTTCTTAGGCAAATTATTTAACTTTTCTTGGGGGCTTGGGTGGATATTGAGGATTGAGCCCAGGGATTGCTGATCTACATTCCCAGCCCTCTGCTCCCCTCTTTTTCTTTTGAGACAGGGTCTCACTATGTAGTTCAGGCTGATCGAGGCTGGCCTCAAACTCATGGTGATCCTCCTGCCTCAGCCTCCTGAGTGCTGGCGTTATAGATGTGCACTGCCATGCCCAACTCAGCCCCCCTTTTTGAGAAATTTTACTTTGAAGCAAGATCTTACTAAGTTGCCCAGCCTAGCCTTCAATTTGTGATCCTCCTGCCTCAGCCTCCTGAGTAGCTGGGCTTACAGGCATGTGTCACCATATTTGGCCATTGAACTTCTTTTAGCCTCTGGTTTTTTTCATCTGTCAAATGAGACTGCCAGGTGCATTGGTGCACACCTATAATCCCAGCACTCTGGAGGCTGAGGCAGGAGGATCACCATGAGTTCAAGGCCAGCCAGAGCTACACAGTTCAAGACAGCCTGAATTACAGAGTGAGACCCTGTCTCAAGAAACAAAATGAAAATCAAACGAGACAACTGTCTTTCAGGGGAGTTTGAGAAAGAAAATGTGTTAATAGCACTACGGTTATCATCATCAGTAATAATTAGGCAGGGGCCCATATTTCCATTACCAAAACTTCAGGCTTGTTGGCAGAGTCGTTGAAATAAAAACATTTTTCAAAACTTGAAATAAAGTATTTTATGCCCTTTGGGGCAGTGAGACACAAGAAGGATGAAGTCTCCAGAATCTTGGATGGTGTAACAGATGCTATCGCTGGCTGGTTGGGCAGGAAATTCACAGGCTCAGCTCCTACACAGGAGAGTGGCTGCCACCTGCCCCGCACCTGCGGCAGGGAGTGCTGGTGTTTGGGACCTAACAGCTCTGCGTCATCACACCAGCAATGATCACCCTCAGCCCTGCCGTGGGGCCCAGAGTAGAGAATTCCGGCAGTCTCTGGGCCTCAAGAGTACTGTCAGGAATGCGGTTCAAGTACTGGTTGCCAGTGCTCGTGTGCCTGTACCCACTGCGCCTCTCCGTTTTCCTGAGCTGGACGGTGGGAAGGAAAAGAGGAACTAGCTCTGCCCTGAATGTGGGCCCGGATGCCAGCTTCTGGCGGTGGGGACAGGATGAGTCAGACAGGTGTGCACTTACTGTGTTCGGGAGCAGCCTGCTGGTGGAACTAGGGCCAGCTTGCAGGGGTCCAGCTAAAGAAAGAGCTACCAAAGGGCTGGAGTAGATTTTGTGTTGTGTTGTGTTGTGTTGTGTTGTTTTATTAACTGTTGTACAGAGCTAAAAGAATATTAATAAAATAAGCCAGGAAAGGTGACACACAGCTACTTGGGAGGCAGAAGCAGGAGGATCACAAATTTGAGGCCAGCCTGGGCAATTTAGTAAAACTATCTCAAAAAATAAAATATAAAATGAAAGGGCTGTAATAATCAGTGGTAGAGCGTTTGCCAAGCATGAACAAGGCCCTGAGCTCAGTCCCAAGTACTGCTTAAGGAAAATAAAAGAAATCCTGAAGAATAATTACATAGTAAATTCCCATGTACCTAGCCTGTAGTTCAAGAAAGGAAACATTGCCTTGACCTTTGAAACCCCTTTACACTCCTGCTGATAGGACTGGATTTTTCAAGTGAATTTTTATTTCTGAGTGCCTGAGACTCAGAGAGGGAAAGTGATTCACCAGAAGTTTCAGTTTGTACGTGGTGGTGCCGGGGACTAGATAAGCCACCTGGTGAATGCAGTGGGGAACCTGACTCCTTTTGGCCTAGCAGGTCTGATGAAGGGTGAGCCCTTCGTTTCCTCAGGCCCTGGTCATCTCTGACGCCTCCTGTTGCCTGGAACAAGCTGTCCTGTGCCTTGGCTGCCCGGTTCCATGTGCTCTGGCAGGTAGCTTTAATCGTCCGGCCTGTCACCAGCAAGAGTGAGTGGCAGCTCCCTGTTCCTGCAGAGCTCACCGCAGGCCGGAAGCCAGTTGGATGCTGGTCCTCCCAGCACATGGGCATGTCAAGTGTCACTTCTAGATCAGAGGCTACATGTGACCCTCGCTCCTCTCTGCAGTTCTCTGTCACTCAGTCTAAAGTTTCCGTCCCTGGCTAGAGGCACAGGACCAGAAACCACCTGGCCTATCAGGTACCAGTAGTTTTATTTTAGAAATAGTATATGTTCTTCTCAGCAAAATACCTTCCAGGAGTTGAAGAAAACCACTGAGAATTAGAAATAGTGATAGTGGAGTAGAGGCTCTGTAAGCAGATTTGTTTTCCTTTCTGGACGTTTTAACATTGTTTCATCACAACAGCAAGGACTATCAGTACAAACATCCCTTTTCTTGGCCTCCCTGCTTGTGGAGTAGAAGAAGAGGTAGAGGCTTCTCTGGGAGGTCCCTGAGGCCTGCGTCAGGAATTTGGCCTCTCAACTTTGATAACCCAGGATCACAGAAACTTTATATCACAGAAGAGGACCTTGTAGGCCCTCCAGGCCATTGTCCAAATTGTGGGATTTCATGGACAAAAGAAAGGACTTTTTAATAACAAAAAAAAAAGCCCTGTCATTTTCAGGGTGGAGATGTAGCTCAGACCATGCTTTGTCTTGATTATTCCTGTTTCCATAGACAGTGGCAGCTCCTTGGCAGACTATCAGGGTGTCAGGCTGCATGTTGGGATCACCCAGGAAGCGTGTGAAGCCTATGTATACCTGGCCCTACCCTGGAGACTCTGACTCCATCTTGGTGGGGCTCCCTCCCCCGGCCAGGATTTCATTTTGCAGCTGGAGTTGAGAATCATCTGTGTCATCCAGGCCCTTTCCAATTTCTGTCCAATCATTGCACAGTAGGGACAAACTGCCTGAATGTTTGGGACTTTCTCCGTCCCTTGAATTTCGCAGAACAAGCCGGGTGTGGTGGCTCACGCCTCGGGAGGCTGAGGCAGGAGGGTCGTTGAGCATTTAGGACCAGCCTGGGCTACAAAGTGAGCTCAAGGCTATAAAGTGAGCTCAAGGCCAGCCTGAACTGTATAATGAGAGCCTGTCTCAAAAAAAACAAACAAACAAAAAAGAATTTCCCAAAACTCTGGTTTGGAGAAGGGATTTCCTGAAGATCAGGATCCAAGAGGATACAATTTTTTTCAGAAAGGTATTGTTTCAATTAATTTATTTTAAATAATATTTAGTAGTTTTAAATAATATAAATAGGAACAATAATAACATATAATCCTACTGATAACCCCTCTTGCATTAAAAAAAGAAAAATTGTGTAGTGGTCAAAATAGTCTCCTTCCCCCCCACCATCCTCTCCAAAGGTAATCACATCATAAGTTCCTGAACTTGTGAATATATCACCTTACATAGCAAAAGGGGCTTTAAATTAAGATTTGAAGAAGGTAGATTATCCTGGATTATCCACGTGAGCCCAGTGTAATCACAAGAATCACTATAAGTAGAAGAGGTAGCTTAATGTCTGTGAATCTAGAACTGGTCTAAAAAATAAAGTCTATTTGAAAAGAAAGAAAGAAAGAAAAAAACAGCAGAAGAAAAGGAGGTCAGAGGGAGGCACCAGGAGAAGGCTCCGATCCTCCATTTCTGATTTTGAAGCTGGAAGTATTAGGATCCAAGGAGTACAGGTGGCCTCTAATGCTGGAAAAGTCAAGCAGATGTGTTCTTCCATCTCCAGAGGGATTGCAGCCTTGCCCAGACTTTTGATTGCAGCCTGAGACCTA